TTCAGATGCAACCAGCCAATCCTGAACTAAACAGACTTTTTTTCTGTATAAATTAGCCAGTCTCAAGCATTCTGTTATAGCAACACAAAATGGACTAGGATAATCACTCAGTGCATTTTGAGCACTTTTTCAGAGCTATCTTCTCCTTTCCTAAATTTACCACCAACTATCCCTGATCTGCTATTTATTTTGAACTTGTCTTTTGATTTGTTAATATTTTTCACTTCTCGAAAATATGATTTTTTAACCTCTTTTTGTTCTTTTTATCATTCTGGTCTTCTTTCACATTATGGTTTCTGCTCCTTCCTTTTGGTCATTAAACATTTTAAGCACACTTATGTCTTTCTTATTGCCTTATTGCCCCTAATTATTTGGATGTAAATTTTCTTATTGTATCTGTTGACTCTTTTCCCAATGTAACTTGTGCTTTCTCTTGTGCCCTCATCTTCATAGACATTTTTGTTAATGTTTGGTTATTGTCTTGCTTTGTGGAAGTACCATCCTTTAGGTTATGAAAAAGTCCATGTAGAACTATTTTACAAGTGCTTTTGCCAAGGCCCTAGGAATAACAATGGCTCTGGACCAGTTCTTGTGTTTCTCAGCTTTTGGTTCACACTATGAAATCAACAAAATACTGAGGCTCTAAACAAGTGAATGTCACATGCCTGGGGTTTTCATTCCTCCAATATCCTCTCTCTTTTTTTTTTCTTCATTAACCCAGAGCCCTAGCAATTTTTCTCATCACTTCCCAGGACCGGTGGGCAAGGTTTTTTTGTTCTTTTGCTATAACTTTACACTTATTAGAGGACCTAGTTTTATGCAGGGGACCTCTTTTGCAGAGTGTCCCACTATCCCAAGGTAAAGTCTTCTGTCCCTGCATTACGTAGTCCCCATTATGTAGGCAAAGCCAGTACCAAAACACCATGAGCTGCTGCTCTGTCAGCTCACTATTTAATATTTCTCTTTGTTATAGGAAGCCTCCCTTGAGCTCAGCTGTGTTGTTTTAAGTCTTGAGATTGCATTTCTCTCAGCATTTACAAGTCTTTGGAGTATGCAATGGGATGGGTAGGCTGTCTCTTTTATCTTACTCTGCCTTGTTTCCAGGAATTGTCCAACTATAAGGTTTCATGTCATATTGTTTTGAGCACTTGGACTGAAGAAGAAGATTTACAGTTACAGCCTGTCTGGAAGAGGTCCTACAGAATAGAAAAGGCCTTAAATTATCAAAAGGAAGAACAATTTAAAGGTCTAGCCACTATTTAAAAGTCTTTCCGGAAGAAATGGAAACTCACTTTGCAGTTCCTTGGGCTGGTGACATTAAGCCCAATGTGTGAAAGTTAACAAAAGGCAAACTTTAGTGCAACTGAAAATTATAGAACTGTTAGAGTTACCCAGTAAAGATGTCTGTCCCAACATTTTGGGAGGCCGAGGCAGGTGGATCACGAGGTCAACAGATCGAGACCATCCTGGTCAACATGGTGAAACCCCGTCTCTACTAAAAATACAAAAAATTAGCTGGGCACAGTGATGCATGCCTGTAATCCCAGCTACTCAGGAGGCTGAGGCAGGAGAATTGCCTGAACCCAGGAGACAGAGGTTGTAGTGAGCCGAGATCGCGCCATTGCACTCCAGCCTGGGTAACAAGAGTGAAACTCCATCTCATTAAAAAAATAAAATTAAAAAAAGATGGTCTGATTTTTGTGAACTCTCCAGTAGTGATATCCATACTGGACCTGGATGATCATCTACCGAACATGCCATTGAAGAGATTATTACTTCATGAAGGGGTGTCTTCCAATTCTGAAATTCTTCTACTTTGTAACAAAAGCTTAATTTCATGGCCTCACCTTTCATGATCTATGGTTCAAGTAAGGTGGAAATCGAAGACATATCAGGAGGACAATAAACACCAGTGAAATGCAACAAAGTTCATAGAGAAGCCAAAAGATGGAGAAAAACTCATTTTAATGGCTGCTTTCTCAGAATTTCCGATTTTTATTTCAAGGAAAGAAAGGAAGCACTTGTCATTTTGTCAACTTCCTTTTTCTGCTCCATGACACACAAATTTACAAAGCAAATGCCTCTGAAGAGTAAACATCGTATAACAGACACTTATCGACACCTGCAGAGATTTTTTAAAAACCATATGTTGCCGGGCGCGGTGGCTCACACCTATAATCCCAGCACTTTGGGAGGCCGAGGCGGGTGGATCACGAGGTCAAGAGATCGAGACCATCCTGGTCAACATGGTGAAACCCCGTCTCTACTAAAAAATACAAAAAATTAGCTGGGCATGGTGGTGCGCGCCTGTAGTCCCAGCTACTTGGGAGGCTGAGGCAGGAGAATTGCTTGAACCCAGAAGGTGGAGGTTGGGGTGAGCCGAGATCGCGCCATTGCACTCCAGCCTGGGTAACAAGAGCAAAACTCTGTCTCAAAAAACAAAAAACATATGTTGCCTTGTCTCTTGGATCTTTCATTCCTCTGGATTCCTTCTCCCATCATACTCTCCTCCTCCTCTTCCTCTTCCTTCTCCTCCTCCTCTTCCTCTCCTTCCTCCTCCTCCTTCTTCTTTCCTTCTTCTCCCTCTCCCCATCCCTCTCCCACTCTCTCTCACCTATCTCATTCTTCTCTCTTTCTATCTGCCCTTCATCTGCATCTATATCCAGCCAGGTCATCCCATTTCTCCTTCCCTCTCCCACATTCTTTTCCCCTTCACTTCCTTACTTCATGGTCTCATCCCTCTCTTTGTCTCAGCTTGACTAGATACTCACCCACATCTCAAATGAAAATGTGCCTATCATATTCCACAGTAGCATCAAAATTGAGTTTCTACCTACCTGGCTTCTCTGGCAGAGTCCTGGCCTTGACTCCTGTGGTCAGTTTCTGTTTCATCCACAGCCTACCACCTCAGTGTAGGCTTCAGAGTTTAGAGGTCAATGAGTGAAATCAATGAGTGAAACTTGAGTTTAGGGAAATGAGCTGCCTCAGTATAACACTTTAATTGCCAATATTTCTTGAGTGGTTTCTATGTGCCAGCAATACGTTAAGCACTTTACATTTCGTTTTCTCTTTTGATTCTCACAACAGCCTGACAAGTTAGGCACCACTATTAATCACACTTTAGGAAACCAGTCTTAGAAGTGCAAAGTAACTTCCCCCAAGGTTATACAGTTAGAGAACGGCAGCCATGGGATCGTAGCCTGAGGCAAGTTCTTAACTCTGAAACAATAAGCTTCCCACTAGGAAAGAGAAATCTGGGGAGGACATTCTCACAGCTCCTCTGTTCTATCCAGTGGGAAACTTGAAGCAGAAAAGGTCTGGGTTCTCCAAAGTGAGTCCAGACATCTCTGCAAACAATGACAGCATTTTATTTTACATAGTGACACTAAGAGAAATGAGACTAGAAGATCTGATTAGCTTTAACTACATCCCTTTTAAAAGTGGACACACTAGGCCGGCGCGGTGGCTCACGCCTATAATCCCAGCACTTTGGGAGGCCGAGGCGGGCGGATCACGAGATCAAGAGATGGAGACCATCCTGGTCAACAAGGTGAAACCCCATCTCTACTAAAAATACAAAAAAAATTAGCTGGGCGTCGTGGTGCGCGCCTGTAATCCCAGCTACTCGGGAGGCTGAGGCAGGAGAATTGCTTGAACCCAGAAGGCGGAGGTTGCGGTGAGCCGAGATCGCGCCATTGCACTCCAGCCTGGGTAACAAGAGCGAAACTCTGTCTCAAAAAAAAAAAAAAAAAAAAAAAAGTGGACACACTGTGGACTAAAACAGCCTAAAGAAAAGACTTTAAAGCACTTTTTTCCCCCACTTTATGAGCAAGCCGTTTAATCGCTTTGAGCATCAGCTTCCCTATTTATGAAATCAGAATTTCACATGAGGCTCATGTAAGAGATTAATGTGTATAAATCACGTGGAACATAGCAGATACTTGATATTTTTTAGCTGAATCTTAATCCAATTTCTCTTAGTAAACATACTACAGATTCCGCAACCTACTCATTTCCATCTTCAGGCAATTCCAAGTCACTCATCAGTCTCATGCCATTTTTTTTAATTAAGCAGAAATTTTATTTCCAAGCTCTTCAAAGACTGTTACAAACACAAATAATGTATCCTTCTTAAAAAAAAAAAAAATAAAATAAAGTGTCCCAAATTACAGGCACATCATCAAAGTAAAACACTTGGGAAATTAAGAATTCTTTTAGGTTGTAATATTTTCATGTTAGTTTTTAACCATTTACAATGTTCTGTGGGTCACACTTTAAACATTTTTAAATATATAAAATCCTGTATTTCCTTTTTTTTAAAATTCGAGACGGAGTTTCGCTCTTGTTGCCCAGGCTGTAGTGCAATGGCGCGATCTCGGCTCACCGCAACCTCCTACTCCTGGGTTCAGGCAATTCTCCTGCCTCAGCCTCCCGAGTAGCTGGGACTACAGGCGGTGCCACCACACCCAGCTAATTTTTGTATTTTTAGTAGAGACGGGGTTTCACCATGTTGACCAGGATGGTCTCGATCTCTTGACCTCGTGATCCACCCGCCTCGGCCTCCCAAAGTGCTGGGATTATAGGCGTGAGCCACCGCGCCCGGCCCAAATCCTGTATTTCTTTAAGTACAGCCACAACTACAAAGCAGAGGAACTTGAGAATACAAAGATCAAATCTGCTTCATTTATATACACAAGGCAGCAGCCTAATGCACATCATCACAACATTAACTTTTCCAAACAAGTCTGCTAAGAAACTGCTGCCATATTTAGTGTTAAAAATAAAACAATCTTCCCATTTAGAAAAATCAAGACATCAGTCGATTAGTAAAACCTGTTCTTCCCCCTCCAGCAATTCATACTTTGTCTTCATTTAGGAATTGTAAATTCATGAGAACAATTTTTTAATTATGTAAAAATCTACCAGGAACAAATTACAAGCATTCAATGTTTTAAATAAACAAAATATTTTCCTTCCTAAAATGCAAACATCCAGTAAATAAAACATACATGATATTCCAGGTATAGAAACATTAGCGACTCACTTATGAAAGAGGTAGGTTTTGCTATATTTGGTGGTAAGGTTTTTGTCTTATGTATAAAAGTATTTCCACAGAAAACCAGGCTGTCACTATTTAAAACTCTATTCTTTCACCCAGTTTCCTTACTTGCATAGAAACTCATGAATTTCTGTGATTTCGGCTATAGAACCAGGCCCCAGGAAAGGACTGAAATATCTCTTAAAGTCACTTGGCTAGGGACAAGTGTTTTCTTGAGACTTGAAGGCAGTCATTCATCACGTTGTGCTTGAAGGCACTCCTCAGCGCACTTCTCTTCTAGAGTCTTCGGAGGAAAGCACAGGATCTGGGCTCACGGAAGGGGTTACTTCCGGCTGGCACAGCCACCAGCAGGGCATCCTTGCAGGCCTTCTGCATCCAGGACTGCTGAAGCCCTGCAGCTGCCTGAGAGACCTTGATCCTCTCTACAGCGGCCTCCAGCTTGAGCTGCTCCACAAGGTGCTGCAGGGCGTTCACGCTGGCACCAGAGGACATGGCGGCGGCGCTGAGCTCCGAGGGCGGCTGGGCAGTCTCCTGCCATTTAATCCAGGAACCTCTCTTACCAACCCCACTCCTCACCCAATCTGAGCTAAGTGATCGTTCTGTTTTTCCATAGAACCATGTGCATGCCTGTATTACAGCTCTCATCACACTGCCAGCTACCACCATCTACCAGCCTGTCTCCCTAACTCGTTTGTGAGTTCCTGGAGCATGGGGACTTCTCCATTTATCTCAATATCTCCAGTGCTAAGCACAGGGCCCTCCAGGCCCTGATGTATGATGTTCCCCTCCCTGTGTCCATGTGTTCTCATTGTTCAACACCCACTTATAAGTGAGAACGTGCAGTGTTTGATTTTCTGTTCTTCTCAGACACATCTCAGGTACTCAGTAAATGTTTTTAATTAAGTCCTACTTTTAAAATATGTTATACTGTGGACCTAAAACATTTTGGTTTCAATAGAAGTATGAAAGGAGCTGCCCAGATGAGTCAGTAGCTATTGTGAGCTAAAGACTTAGCCACATGGTTCCCACTTAGGTGAGAAATTCTCAGAATGCAAATAATTTCTTTAAAATATTCCAGGCTTGGTCCATAGTCTTCTTGGTTTTATACACTAGTCATTTGAACCCTCATTTTTCTTAGTATTCATCTTTAGAGATTATCAGTTCAAAAAATTTTAAGCCTGTGCTCAGCAGGTCACTTCCTTTTATCTAGCTTCCCAAATAAATGTATAAAAATTCCCTCCCCTTCTTTTAGGGCTGCTCAGTCTTCTACACAGATCCCTCCTCCCTTCTCTTTCTAGCTTTGGTGTCCTTGCTTTGTTTAAGCATGGATTTGCCCAATAATAAAACTGTGTTTATTGTTTGACTTCCAAGACATGTAATTCCTAATGGTGTCTGGCATTGTTTCCATTGCAGCAGCGTAAAATTGTCTCCAGAATATCAGCTGTAATGAATCTGAGATTAATTCCTGTCCTTGTATGTGGCTGGTAACTTTTCTTTTTTAAAAAAAATTTATTTATTATACTTTAAGTTCTAGGATACATGTGCAGATTTTGCAGGTTTGTTACATAAGTATACACGTGCCATGCTGGTGGTTTGCTGCATTCATCACCCCGTTATCTACCTTAGGTAATTCTCCTAATGCTATCCCTCCCCAATCCCCACACCCCGTTATTCCTCCCCTAGCCCTCCACCCTCCAGGCCCTGGTGTGTGATGTTCCCCTCCTGGTGTCCATGTGTTCTCATTGTTCAACATCCACTTATAAGTGAGAATGTGCAGTGTTTGGTTTTCTGTTCTTGTGTGTCAGTTTACTGAGAATGATGGTTTCCAGTTTCATCTATGTCCCTGCCAAGGACATGAACTCGTCCTTTTTTATGGCTGCATAGTATTCCATGGTGTATATGTGCCACATTTTCTTTATCCAGTCTATCATCGATGGGTAGGTGGGTTGGTTCCAGGTCTTTGCTATTGTGAACGGTGCCACAATAACATACGTGTGCATGTGTCTTTATAATAGAGTGATTTATAATCCTTTGGGTATATACCCAGAAATGAGATTGCTGGGTAAAATGGTATCTCTATTTGTAGATCCTTGAGGAATTGCTGCACTGTCTTCCACAATGGTTGAATTAATTTACACTCCCACCAACAGTGTAAAAGCATTCCTTTTTCTCCACATCCTCCCCAGCATCTGTTATCTCCTGATTTTTTAAAGATCGCCATTCTAACTGGTGTGAAGTGGTATCTCAATGTGGTTTTGATTTGCATTTCTCTAATGACCAGTGCTGATGAGCTTTTTTTCATATGTTTCTTGGCTGTGTAAATTTTTCTTTTTTTGACAGGGTTGTTTGTGTTTTTCTTGTTAATTTGTTTAAGTTCTCTGTAGATTCTGGATATTAGCCCTTTGTCAGATGGGTAGATTGCAAAAGTTTTTCCCATTCTGTTGGTTGCTGGTTCACTCAACAGTTTGACAGTTTCTTTTGCTGTGCAGAAGCTCTTAAGTTTAATTAGATCCCATTTGTCTATTTTAGCTTTTGTTGCCATTGCTTTTGGTGTTTTAATCATGAAGTCCTTTCCCACGCCTGTGTCCTGAATGGTATTGCATAGGTTTTCTTTTAGGGTTTTTATGGTGTTAGGCCTCATGTTTAATTCTTTAATCCATCTAGAGTTAATTTTTGTATAAAGTGTAAGGAAGTAGAGAGCCAGAGGAGCAAGATCAAACAAATTCAAAAGCTGGCAGAAGGCAATAAATAACTAAGATCAAAGCAGAACTGAGGGAGCTAGAGATACGAAAAACCCTTCCAAAAATCAATAAATCCAAGAGCTGGTTTTTTGAAAAGATCAACAAAATAGGCCACTAGCCAGACTAATAAAAAAGAAAAGAGAGAAGATTCAAAAAGATGCAATTAAAAAATGATAAAGAGGATATCACCACCAACCCCACAGAAATACAAACTACCATCAGAGATTACTACAAACATCTCTATGCAAATAAAGCAGAGAATCTAGAAGAAATGGATAAATTCCTCAACACTTGCACCCTCTCAAGACTACACAAGGAAGAAGTTGAATCCCTGAATAGACCAATAACAAGGCCTGAAGTTGAGGTAGCAATTAATAGCCTACCAACCAAAAAAAGTCCAGGACCAGATGGTTTCACAGCCGAATTCTACCAGAGGTACAAAGAGGAGCTGGTACCATTCCTTCTAAAACTATTCCAAACAATACAAAAGGAGGGAATCTTCCTAACTCATTTTATGAGACCGACATCATCCTAATATCAAAACCTGGTAGAGAAAATTTCAGGCCAATATCCATGATGAACGTTAATGCAAAAATCTTCAGTAAAATACTAGCAAACCAAATCCAGCAGCACATCAAAAAGCTTATTCAACAAACCAAATCCAACAGCACATCAAAAAGCTTATCACGATCAAGTCAGCTTCATCCCAGGGATGCAAGGCTGGTTTAATATGCACAAATCGATAAATGTAATCCATCACATAAACAGAACCAAAGACAAAAACCACATGATATCTCCATAGATGTAAAGAAAACTTTTGACAAAATTCAACATCCATTTATGCTAAGAACTCTCAAGAAACTAGGTATTGATGGATTATATCTCAAAATGATAAGACCTATTTATGACAAACACACTGCCAATATCATACTGAACGGGCAAAACTGGAAGCATTCCCTTTGAAAACTGGCACAAGACAAGGATGCCTCTCTCACCACTCCTATTCAACATAGTATTGGAAGTTCTGGCTAGGGCCATCAAGCAAGAGAAAGAAATAAAGCATATTCGAATAGGAAGAGAGAACATCAAATTGTCCCTGTTTGCAGATGACATGATTGTATATTTAGAAAACCCCATTGTCTCAGTCCAAAATCTCCTTAAGCTGATAAGCAACTTCAGCAAAGTCTCAGAATACAAAATCATTGAGCAAAAATCACAAGCATTTCTATATACCAATAACAGACAAACAGAAAGCCAAATCGTAAGTGGATTCTCATTCACAATTGCTACAAAGAGAATAAAATACCTAGGAATACAACTAACAAGAGATGTGAAGGACCTCTTCAAGGAGAACCACAAACCACTGCTCAAGGAAATAAAAGAGGACATAAACAGATGGAAAAACATTCCATGCTCATTGTTAGGAAGAATCAATATCATGAAAATGGCCATACTGTCCAAAATAATTTATAGATTCAATGCTATTCCCATCAAGCTACCAATGACTTTCTTCAGAGAATTGGAAAAAACCACCTTAAACTTCATATGGAACCAAGAAAGAGCCCACATAGCCAAGACAATCCTAAGCAGAAAAAAAAAAGCTGAGGCATCACGCTACCTGACTTCAAACTATATTACATGGCCTCTGTACTCAAAACGGCATGGTACTGGTACCAAAACAGAGACATAGACCAATGGAACAGAACAGAAGCCTCAGAAAGAATGCCACACAACCACAATCATCTGATCTTTGACAAACCAGACCAAAACAAGCAATGGGGAAATGATTCCCTATTTAATAAATGGTGTTGGGAAAACTGGCTAGCTATATGCAGAAAGCTGAAACTGGCTGGTAACTTTGAACAAGGTAGCCTGTGTAACTTTTGAGTCCCTATTTTAAAACTGTATGACTTAAAAGATTATAACTATAATCTTGTCTGTATACAATTAGCCTCTGGAGATTTTTTTAAAATGTAGAGGCCCTTGTTTTTTAAATATTAGTGTTAGTACTTTGTGTTTTTTAATCTAATATTAACAATATTTCCCATTATTTTCTTTCTATTTATGTTGCCTTTATATTTCTTTCTTTGGTTCTTTCCTCTTTTTTTGAGACTGAGCCTTGCTCTATGGTCCAGGCTAGAGTGCAGTGGTAAGATCTCAGCTCACTGCAACCTCTGCCTCCCAGGTTCAAGAGATTCTCGTGCCTCAGACTCCCAAGGAGCTGGGATTACAGGTGTGCATCACCACAGCTGGCTAATTATTGTATTTTTAGCAGAAACGGGGTTTCAGCATGTTGGATAGGCTGGTCTTAAACTCCTGACCTCAGGTGATCTGCCCACCTTGGCCTCCCAAAGTGCTGGGATTACAGGCATAAGCCACCATGCCCCCGCCTATATTTATCTATTTAAAAGCTTGCTTTGCACTATAATTTACTTTAACCTATAAAATTTTGTAAGAATTTCTTCTGTTGCCAGGTGCAGTGGCTTACGCCTGTAATCCCAGCACTTTGGGAGGCCAAAGCGGGTGGATCATGAGGTCAGGAGATTGAGACCATCCTGGCTAACACAGTGAAACCCCATCTCTACTAAAAAAAAAAAAAAAATAGCCAGGCGTGGTGGCAAGCACCTGTAGTCCCAGCTACTCGGGAGGCTGAGGCAGGAGAATGGCTTGAACTCAGGAGGCAGAGGTTGCAGTGAGCCGAGGTCCAGCCATGGCACTCCAGCCTGGGTGACAAAGTGAGACTCCGTCTCCAA